TTTTTTTTTTTTTTTTTTAGTTAATGCTACATGAATGCTATAAACAATTTAAGATGCACTTTGGCAGAATTTTGTTCTTTCACATATGACATATCACGTTATTTTTAAAATGAAATTATGCTTACAAATCATTTCATGACTTTTATCACTTTCCTTTGTTGGGTTCCTTCCGAATGAATTTGAAACCTATCTGCCATTTGGAGATTAATCGTAGGGGATTTAAGGTTTCTCTTCCCTAATTTCTTGTAAATCGACCAGAAACATCAAATGGACGCTCGCACGTAAGTTGCACAAGGTCGCACAGTCAATACTACAAAGTTCTCTCGGATTCTTGCCTTTAATAGGAAATTTTCATTCATTTCTAATGCTACTCTTCTCCTTAAGTCATGACTAGGATTGCAAACGAGCCGAGCTCGATCTCTTAACAAGCTGAGCCGTAAACGAGCTGAATTCGAGTCAAACTATAGAAAATTATATAAAAATTTCTTATCCAACTTAACGTGATGTTAACCATACGAGCTTTAAATAAGCTCGAGCTCAACTCATTAAAGGCAAGAGCTCGAGCCGAACTTGATCCTTAACAAGCCGAGGCGAACAAGACTCATTTAATTTAACAGCACTATTCACGACCTCATATTGACGACCTCATATTGAAGGGTCATAAAAGGTCATTCGACCTTTTCGACTATAGGCTTGACTTTTACCACATTGGCGCCTCCTGACCTTCGTTGTCATTTTCCTAAATATAAACGTTATTGCATTGCTCCTTACAACATTAACCTCCATATTGCTCATAAATGTAATTTTTCAGAACCCCTATTGTTAACTGGCTTAACTGTTGTTCGAGCATCTTTATTTGGCTTGCCACAAAGTAAAAAAATGCATGAGTCTCAACCATGAAGTTTTTTCGTATGTCACATAAACATGGTGAATATTCATTATCATTTGTTGTAGAGAACTCCGTCGGTGGGTGGAGAGCATTATTTGAATTCCCAAGTTCGAAGGATTAAGGACCCCGAATTGTAATGATCGTCCTATTGATCTCGTAGTTGCTAATGTTTTGGTTCAAGTAATTCACATCCTTGCTGAGATTTTACATTGGTAACCCATTTACTCCCAAAACATTTCTGTTTCTAATCGTCTGAAGGCTATCAATATTGTTCATTAGCACTGCAATTTGAGCCGTGAACGTCAAGAAATGATCATATTCAGTGGCCGCCACCACCCTCATGAGCATCGTGCGTTCCACCAGCAATTGATAGCTATTTGAAGCCATAATAAAAAATTACCATTGCATTGCTTTGGCCTCCCACCCAAAGGTGTGCCACCCGTTGAGGTGTCGACCTTGGCCTTCATTGAGCCACTCAACTCATTATAAAATTAGTATATTTGGGGTTCTTTCGAGAACCTTTTGTGGGCATGTACGAAGAATCTGCATGTACCGCTGCCAAACCTCAAAAAGGTTTGTACTTCTGTTGTCTGAATTGAGTGATCTATGTCAGAAGCATTAGCATCTTACACGGTGGAAAGAACTTTACAAGAATTTTTGGCGCATTTCATCTCATGTGGTCAACGTTTGGGCTCCAAACGAGTTGTACAAACTCTTCGCGTTATCTCATAGAGGAAAGAGAACAGACAAAGCTTGATAGCATACTTTAAGAGACCATTGCACTTCAGCAAATCTTGAGGAATTGTTTAGGTGCGCGTTCAGGTCCTTGATCGGGCCTCCTGCAAACTCATTTTGGTGAACATTTCAATTAAAGCTAGACCTAACTCAAAATTATTTCCCTTGATTCCAGGCATGTGACCTCCTCCATATAACATGATTCAGTGATTGTTGGAAGATGTCCCTCACAGCCGTTCCTTGATCCAACTTGACTTGTCGTCTGCCATACGCCGCTCCTTAATCAAAACGACTAAACGAGTCCAAGAAAAATAATCTAAATAAAAATAAAAGGTGCCTAAAGTAATATATATTTGCCTTTTCGTAACATTAATTAATTCAACAAAACTATCCTTGACAACGACATTAAATGCTTTTTCGTTAAATATTTTGGACTAACTGCTAGTGTGCAACATAGCTATAGGTCATGGCGCACACAACTATAGGTGATGTCGAGTAATGTCGTATTCTGTAGAAATATTTGTTAAATTAATTAAATACCGATAGTGATGATTACATAATATGTAGACTAATACGGTTTCAAAAAATTATTAACTATGAACTATGAAATGTAAACGAAAAAATTAAACTAACTTAACAACAAATGAAAACTCGATGAAATTTACAAGGCAAGCAAGATGGAAAAATACACTCTAAGACAAGTTTTTTCTCGAAATAATTCAAGAAATATTTTTACTTAGATCTAAACTTTATTTGATTTTACTAGTAGAGATAATTACTAAATTAATCTAAATTAACCTTCCTCTTAAGCAACATAAATCGTAGACTAATTGATATTTATATTCTCTCTTCTCTCGATCTCATGATGAAAAATAACAAACCCCCTCGGTTCATAAAATTTTAATTCTCTCAAGCTCTCGTTCATTTAGTTTCTTACTCTTCACATTCCTGTATTCCGTTGACTATTTCCTTTTATTTTTAAATCAATAACAAATATGCACAAATACGTGTCCTATAGTACTCATGCAATAAAAAATAAACGCAAGAAATTTATTAACAAAAGGAAATCAAAATAAATAAACTAAATCATTTCATATTAAATCCGAGTACCCACAGATCCTAGAATCACTGTAAAATATTTAGCCTAAAAACATAATTTTGTTTCCAAAAGAAATAGAAACAAAAAAATTGAGCTAAAAAAAATAGAAAAGCTTATTAGGCTCTTCGTTTTTCCCCCGAATTTTCTCACTTGTCTTGCACGCTTCCAGCTTCCAAACCCTTCCAATCTGCTTTTAGCCGTGCACTAATGTCTCAGTGAATTGTTGGGGGGCGAATATTTATCAAAATAGGATGAAAAACGCATCAAACCGACAAAGTCACACAAGTCGTGTGACTTTGGGTTGAGTACCATACGACTCGTGTGGCATGTACATGAGCAGCTATAGAAATGCTCCCAAACCTCACAAGAGTCGCGTGGCCTGCACAAAATTCGTGTGAAGTGCGTTTCAACCCATTGGGAACCCACACGACCCAACTGGCGTCATGACCCGCATGAACGATGAACGCCGAAAGTAACCCTTGGTGATCATTTCCTCCGCGTGATACAACTCTCGGTTGATGTCTAGCTCTTTAGTCAGCCCTCAACAACTTCCGACAATTAGCTGGAAGGTGCCGCTGTCAATTTCAGGCATTTATAATTCAACGACACATCATAAAAAATAATGTTAGGAAAAGATAAAATAAAGGGGCACCCCACTTGCCCACTTGCCCACATGCCCCCACGTGTCGACTTACCCACATGCATCCTAGTTGTATTATTAAAAAAAAAAGTATATTTTTTATTAAATCCTTCCCCCTATAAATAGAATGGGGAGGAAGGAAAGATACAACAAAAAAAGGAGAGAATAAGAAAGAGAAAGGAAAAGAAAGAAAGAAATAGATATATCCAAATATCGGATATAAAAATGTCAAAGAGAATAAAAAAGTGATATGTTTATTGGTTTCAAAATATTCTTTTTATTTCTAAGTGCTCAGTTCTCGACTCCGTTCCAATTCGTCGGAGCTCGTAAATCTGGTGTGCTACAGATTTCGAGACGATAGTCGTTGTACCTTTGGGGAAGTTACGCCTGAACCGTTAGCACTACGCGAGGAGTGTTCGTCTTGCGGAAAGAGTTTACTCGCCTCGACTAAAATCTTTCCCTTTTTCAAGTTGTAATTTATTTTCAGCTTTATTTTAATTTTTCTATTTTAGATCGTTTGTAAGAATTGAATATTACAATTCAGTTCGTAGGATTCGAGTGTATTTTTAACACCCAGGTTATAACAAATAATGGCTCCAACTCATCTTGGCGGCGCTCCATCTAATCGGCCTTCGACATGCAACGACTTGGCGAACAAAATGGTAGACTGGTTCACCATCCCAACCAACTCGCAAGGAACAAGAAAAAAGAACTGAATCCCACTTTTATTTGAAGTTCCCAAAACATGCCTTCAACATTAAGTGGTTTCCCATATACTGAAGACTGAAGAGTTCGATTTGCCCCCACACCAATCAAACAATTAATGACTTCATCGGGCTACGTACACCAATCAAACAATTAATGCCTTCATCGGGCTATATACGTACTGGGCAAAGCAGCAGTGTATTTCATGTTTCAAGCCATCTTCACCTTTAATATTTACTCCAATCACATTTTCAATCAAAACTCAAAACAAAACACTTTCATCGTAGCTTAATAAAATGAATAAAAACGACATTTGGTGGCAACCAGTTCTTGTTTCTCAATGTAATCGACCCAACGAAGCGAATTTCAGTCATAGAGAAAGTCAAAGCAGATACGATTCAGAAGAGTTGTTGCCTTTTCTTTCTATCGATTCTATGTGATTGAATCTTTCTTTCAAATATCAGTTCGAAACAAGGTATCAAATCTATGAATCTATTGATTTGTTATTTTAGTTGAATCTCGAAAGAATACATAGAACAAAATACTTTCATTGTAGCTTAATTAAATGAATAAAAATGTGCATAATGCTAGTATGAGAATCGTTTTAAGATGCATATAATGATGACGTATGTCAAATATGATCTTCAACAATATTTGAAGAAACTTTACTGTGCACTTTTTTTTTTCTTTATTAAAATCCGGCGGCAATTATCTATAGATAAAAATTTCACAAATTAATAATTCATTTTTTTTTTTTTTTTTTGGAATTTATAATTTATTTAGCCAAGTATAATCACATTGATGGGCCTTAACTAGAGCCTTGGTCGTAACGGGCCCACTAACCCAGTGATTAATAAGCCCAATGTCCAATTTCATTGACGCAGTAAAGCAGTGACACAAGCGCATACGGCGACGATGGCGGAAACCACCGACGAGAGCCCCTCCGACCTCCTCACACACCACCAACAGCAGACGCCTCCGCCCAAACCGCGGGTCAAGCGCTTCGTGAAGAACCAAATCCCAGACTCCATCCTCAACGACGCCGCTCTGAACGCCGCCATCTCCCTTCTCCCGGCCAACTACAACTTCGAGATCCACAAGATCGTCTGGAGGGCTCGCTCCACCGGCGCCACCCGCATCGCGCTCCAGTTCCCGGAGGGCCTCCTCATGTACGCCCTCGCCATCTCCGACATCCTCACCGCTTTCGCCGGCGCCACCCACTGCTTCGTCCTCGGCGACGTCACCTACGGTGCCTGCTGCGTCGACGACCTCTCGGCTCGCGCCCTCGGCGCCCACCTCCTCGTCCACTTCGGCCACAGCTGCCTCGTGCCTATCGACTCCACCACCGTCCCCACGCTCTACGTCTTCGTCGAGATCTCAATCAACACGCGCAAGCTTCTCGAGGAGCTGAGTTACAATTTTTCCTCCGACGAAACCGGCAGCTTCATCATGGCAGGGACGATTCAGTTTTCCAGCGCGATTCGTGCAGTCAAGTCAGAGCTGGAGAATTTGGGGTTTAGGGTTATGATACCCCAATCGAGGCCCCTCTCCGCAGGGGAGGTTTTGGGGTGCACGGCCCCAACTGTGAAATTACAAAATTCGGCTGGAAAAGACGATGTGATCATCTTCGTGGCTGATGGAAGGTTCCATCTGGAGGCGTTCATGATAGCCAATCCCGAGATTAGGGCTTTCAGATACGATCCGTATTTGGGGAAGTTGTTCTTGGAGGAATACGATCATCAGGGGATGAAGGAAGATAGGAGAAGAGCAATAGAGAGAGCTGTTGGAGCAAAAACATGGGGTATTGTGTTGGGGACGCTAGGCAGGCAAGGGAATCCGATGGTGTTAGATCGGTTGGAGAAGAAAATGAATGATAAAGGTTTGGATTACATGATTGTCTTGATATCCGAGCTTTCGCCCAATAAAATCGAGTTGTTTGGAGACGCAGTTGATGCTTGGGTTCAGATCGCATGCCCCAGACTGTCCATAGATTGGGGGGACGCGTTCAAGAAGCCATTGTTAACTTCTTTTGAAGCTGAAATTGCGCTTGGGGATTTGCCCGGGTGGTGGGAGAGGAAATTGAGGTGTGGTGATAGCAGTTTGGGGAGTGGAAATGAGAATGCAACTGAGGGCGTGGATTACCCGATGGATTACTATGCGCAGGATGGAGGGGAATGGAACTCCTGTTATTCAAAGAAATCAGCTAATGCTCGGCGTAAAAACATTAATTGTTGCAGTAATGGACCTAATGGTTGTGGACAGCCTTCAAATGGCCAAAAGGTCTGTCAGTAGATTACTGGTGGAGATTGATGTTGGTAAGAGTGAGTGTCAGTTTTCTAAGTTTTTCATGTTGGGCATGATAGTTACTCCCATTATATCCAGTTTTGCAGTACAATTTGGTTTTAGAGCCCATTTTAGTATTTTGTGTTTGGTGCAATGTTTGCACTTAAGATTGTAGATTTTGAGAATCCTGCGATTCTTCTATCAGAAGGTAATGGACGTGTCGAAAATTTGGTTTTTTGAAATTGATGTTGTGTACTGATTCATGTTTGTTGCATCCAAATCTGTTTCATCTCACGTGGAGAAGTCTATGGTCTGTGTCAAGTTTTTGCAGTTTTCAACATCTGCCATTTTCTTCCATTGCTGCTCAAATTTTTACTATGATGAACTTCGTAACAGTTGGTGAACCTTCAGTTTCGTTCAAGTTACATGGAAAAAAAAAAAATGTTACTTAACAAGACTAATCAAAGCTGGGTGCCAACACATTGTAATTGCGGTTCATATTGTATGACGTCCTCAAAACTTTCCAGGACCAACAATGGCATGCTTAACTCAAGACCAAGGGCAACAGAAGTACTTCAGGTGTGCAGATCAAGATCCTGCAATTTATCCATGGTGAAATTCTTTGAGATTATGCTGCCATTATTGGGGTTGCCAATTCTGAACTGTCTTGTAGATATAGACAACTGGTTGTCGCTTTACTGTTTGCTACAACATTGTCGGGTATGCTCTTTTAGTCGCCTCTATGGCGAATTTAGGTGATACGCACCTGAGACGTGAGTCTCATGCTAATTATCGTGTCTCTTGTAGGTTGTTATTTTAAGCTTCCAACAAATGACAGAATTTTTCTAGTCTAGATGGTGCCAGTTAATCTTGAACCTTAGTACATTTATGGAATTTTCTAGTCTAGATGGCGCAGTACAGTCAACAATAACAACAACAAAGCCTTTTAGTCCCAAACAAGTTGGGGTAGGCTAGAGATGAAACCCAATAGAAACAGTAGTAAAAAAAAAAAAAAAAAAAAAAGATTGGAGCAAAAGAGAAAGGAGCAAAAGTCACGGTTCCGACACGTTGATCGCTAGTCTCCAAGCGCTCCTATCCACCGCTAAATCCTTGGAGATATTCCAATCTTTAAGGTCTCTCTGAACCGACTCTTCCCAAGTGAGTTTAGGCCGACCTCTACCTCTCTTAACAACATCGACCCGCTGTAGAACTCCCCTGCGCACCGGTGCATCAGGAGGCCTCCGTTGGACATGTCCGAACCACCTCAGCCGATGTTGAACCAATTTCTCCTCAATTGGGGCCACCCCGACCCTATCACGAATATCCTCATTTCGGATTCTATCTCTTCTTGTGTGCCCGTAAAACCAACGCAACATCCGCATCTCTGCTACACTTAGTTGTTGGACATGTTGCCTTTTTATAGGCCAACATTCAGCACCGTATAGCATCGCCGGGCGAATCGCCGTCCTATAGAACTTACCTTTTAGCTTTTGTGGCACCCTCTTATCACAGAGAACGCCCGAAGCTTGACGCCATTTCAACCAACCGGCTGCAATTCTATGCCTAACATCTTCATCAATGCCGCCATCCTTTTGTAGCATCGATCCTAAATACCGGAAAGTCTCCTTCTTGGCCACCACTTGCCCGTCAAGACTAACATCACCATCATCATGAGTAGCCATGCTGAAAGCGCACGTCATGTACTCGGTCTTCATCCTACTAAGTCTGAAGCCTTTCGACTCTAACGTGTCCTTCCACAGCTCTAACTTCCTATTTACCCCGGCCCTACTCTCGTCAATTAGCACCACATCATCAGCAAAGAGCATACACCAAGGGAGATCACCTTGTATGTCCCTTGTGACCTCATCCATCACCAAGGCAAATAAATAAGGGCTCAATGCTGACCCCTGGTGTAGTCCTATTTTAATTGGGAAGTCGCTGGTATCGCCCCCACATGTTCGAACACACGTCATCACATCCTTGTACATATCCTTGATGAGGGTAATGTACTTAGATGAGACTTTGTGCTTTTCTAAGGCCCACCACATGACATTCCTCGGTACTCTGTCATAAGCCTTCTCAAGGTCGATAAAGACCATGTGCAAGTCCTTCTTTTGGTCTCTATATCTCTCCATCAACTGTCGTATTAGGAAAATCGCCTCCATGGTCGACCTTCCAAGCATAAACCCAAATTGGTTTTTGGTCACACTCGTCACTCGTCGTAGACGATGCTCGATAACCCTCTCCCAGAGCTTCATCGTATGGCTCATCAACTTAATCCCACGGTAGTTACCACAACTTTGAACATCACCCTTGTTCTTGAAGATCTGTACTAAAGTACTTCTCCTCCATTCATCAGGCATCTTGTTTGACCGAAAGATGAGGTTAAAAAGCTTAGTTAACCATACTAACGCTCTGGCGCCCAAACATCGCCACACCTCAATAGGAATACCATCAGGGCCCATTGCTTTACCTCCCTTCATCCTCTTCATAGCCTCTCCGATCTCTGCCTCTCGGATTCTCCTCACCAAGCATCTATTGGTATCCTCAAATGAGTCAACCAACTCCAGGGTAGGACCCTCACTCTCCCCATTAAACAATTTGTCGAAGTACTCTCGCCATCTGTCCTTGATCTCCCCATCCTTCACCAGTGGCCGATCCGACTCATCCTTGATGCAGTCTTCCTCTCCCGAATCCTAGCTATCTTATAAATGTCCTTCTCCCCCTCCTTCGTGCCTAGGCGCTGATAGAGGTCATCATAGGCCTGACCCTTCGCTACACTCACGGCACGCTTTGCAGCCCTCCTCGCTATTTTATAGCTCTCAATGTTGGTTGCACTCTTGTCGAGGTGGAAACGCTTGAAACACTCTTTCTTCTCTTGAATAGCCCTTTGCACCTCGTCATTCCACCACCAAGTGTCTTTCGCATCCTGCTTGCCTCCCCTACTCACATCAAGTACTTCTGCAGCCACCTTCCGTACACATGTTGCCATCTTTAGCCACATGTCATCTGCATCTTCTCCTTCTTCCCAAGGCCCCTCGCCTAGCATCCTATCCCTAAACGTCTGCGCCACTTCCCCTTTAAGCTTCCACCACTTCGTTCTCACGGTCTTGGCACATTTGTCCCGGTGGACACGTACTCGGAATCGAAAGTCCGCCACCACCAGCTTATGCTGGGGGACAACACACTCCCCAGGTATCACCTTGCAATCTACGCAAGCGCGTCTATCCTCCCTCCTTGCAAGGATAAAGTCGATCTTACTTGAGTGACGTCCACTATGGAAGGTCACTAGGTGAGATTCCCTCTTCCTAAAGAGGGTGTTCGCTATCAGCAAGTCGTAGGCCAACGCAAAGTCCAACACACCCTCCCCCTCTTCATTCCTACTACCATACCCAAATCCTCCGTGCACTCTCTCGAAACCTATATTAGTCGCGCCCACATGTCCGTTGAGGTCTCCTCCTACGAAGAGCTTCTCGCTGGCAGGCACCGTACTGACCAAGGTGTCCAGATCTTCCCAGAATTGCCTCTTGGCGCTCTCACTAAGACCTACCTGGGGGGCATAGGAACTGATCACATTCATGGTCACATCCCCAACTACCAATCAGACTAGGATAATCCGGTCGCCTTGCCTCCTAACATCTACAACTCCATCCTTAAGGCTCCTATCGATCAGGATGCCTACACCATTCCTACTCGATGAAGCCCCTGTGAACCAAAGCTTGAAGCCAGTATCCTCCACTTCCTTCGCCTTCTGCCCCTTCCATTTAGTCTCCTGGACGCATAGTATATTAACACGCCTCCTAATAGCTGCATCGACTAGCTCACGTAGCTTACCCGTTAGGGACCCTACGTTCCAACTACCTATCCGGACCCTAGTTGGTTCGACTAGCTTCCTTGCCCTTCGCACCCGTCGGGAGAGATGCGAAGACCCTTGCTCATTTTCCACTACACCCGGGCGCCGATGTAGCGCGCCACTAAGGAAATGACGACCCGGTCCTTGCTCACTTAACACCATGCCCAAACCACGACATGGCGCGTCCCTGAGGGGGAGACGACCCGGCCCTTGCCCATTTGACACCATACCCGGGTTCCGATATGACACGTCGCTAAGAGGGTTACGCCCCAACGAATATCTATTGTGTTTCATCTCCATAGAATGACTAGGTTTTACGTTGGCTCGCCAAGCCTATCACAACCCTCCTCCTTTACCAGGGCTTGGGACCTGCTGTGTTGAGACAACATAGGCGGAGTTGGCGCAGTATAGTCAATCCATATTATTTTTTTTTCGTTTGTTTCTTATAACTGCAGCAGTCCGTGGATAATACCTTTCTTCTTTTCTGAATCACAATCGACTTTGTGCAGCTTGCGGCTTACATAAGATGAAACGAATTAGGTGCATTAGACTCGTATCATGGTTTACTCGGTGCAGGGGATCAATTAGAAATATTACACTCTTTATGCATTTTCTAACAACTCTAACCAACATGTATTGTTAAAATTAGGACCAAAGAGACAAATGCCATTCAAAGTTCATCACACATTTCAATACTATGATCAACAATTCTATGCTCAAATTGATCATATACTTCAATACTCTCGTAAATTATATTATCAATGTATCGTGATATCATATTCACGAGTGGGTAAAATGAAACAAATTAAAAGGGTTTATTGCACCAAATCCCCCTGTATTATACTAAATCTGCGCGTTTTCCCCTCGCATTTCAAAAATTGCGTCAAACCCCCTTGTATTTAATGTTTACATGCACACTCGCCCTGTTATGTTAACGCCGTTACAAATCCCCCTGACGGGGTTACTTTTTTGTTTAATTTACCATTATACCCTTCCTTTATCCATAAATTTACTATTATGCCCTGCTGAAAATATGTTACCTTAAAATTAAAATCTCAAAGGTGGGGAAGGTGGGGATTGAACCATGTATCTTTGGGTTAAAAAGAGCATCTCTCACCAACAGAGCTACTCAATATTTAGTTAAAAATGTGATTCTATTTATATATATCATAACGTAAAGAAGAAATATCATAACAATTAATTAGAAATAATGTAGTAATTAAATATATAGATTCCAAGTTATAATTAATTATAAATAATGAAATAATTAAGAAAATATTTTCTAACATAAAAATAATATAATAATTAAGTAAGTCGATTATAAATTACTAATATATAATAATTAAATAAATATATTCTAAATTATAAATAATGTATTAATTGACTAAATATATTCGAAATCAATAATATATAATAATAAAATAAATATAATTTAAATCATAAATATTCTAAATTATAAAAGATATAATAATAATTATTATAATAAAATAGATTATAAATTTTAATATAATATAATAATTAATTAAATAGATTTTGTATTATTATAAAATATAAATATTGCATTTTTATATCCCTTATAATTTGTAATTATCATTAAGTTATGTATATTTAAGTAATTATATTCTTACTTATAAATATTTATAATAATTGAATAAATTATATTATTACTTATAAATGATATAATAATTAAGTAAATATATTCAAAATTATAAATAATACAATAACTAAATAAAGACATTCGAAATTGTAGATAAGGTTAAAAATTTTATATATTTATCATTATAATATAATATAAAATATAATATATAATATATTATATTATAATATATATATTATTTATATTTATAATATAAAATATATTATAT